GGGGGATTACAAGTAGGAAACATTTTAGTTATTGTATCAATCACATGTGATTAATAACTATCAATCAAGTAGATTTCTTATTCTTCAAAACTGTGTTATTAAACAAACTATTTCAAAGCCTTTTATAAACCGACATCAACTCATCTATAACCATTCAAATGGTTAAAACTCTTTTATATGCTAAATTCTTTATTAAACTCTTTTAAACTTATATATTGTCAAAATCATGTCTATATAGATATAGTTATATAAATAGGATTGAAAGGGCTTAGGACTGATAACTCGCTTTATTTCCTGTTCCTTGTTTGGTTGTAGACTTAGGGTATCGGTTGTTTGTCCGAGTGTTGTTTGAATCTTAGTTATATATTATGTATATGTATATAGATATAAAAGTTCTTCATTCAGTTCAATACCTTTGGGTAGCAAAGGTGTACAAACATGATCAGTCATACAAACAACATTACTAGTAAACTATAATAGGTATAGTTTAGGAAGTTACTACTTACTATTTATAGAACAATGAAACATACAAGAGTCAGTTCATACATGAGTCAGTTCTAACATACTATAATGAGAAATAGAAAGAACATACTATACACTAGAACAGAGAGAACACTATACACTAGAACAGAGAGAACATACTATACACTAGAACAGAGAGGACATACTACACTAATACAATAACAAAGATAACATTAATGTGAGCCACTACTTCATGGCACGGAAATATACTGTTGTGTCACATTTTGTAACCAGAGTCTCCTGGAGGGAGAGTGTGAGTTTGTGTATAGATCTATACGGGATTGACCATCCTACACCTTGCTGCTAGCTACAGTGGGACCTGCAGGTCTACGGGTGATGAATGTCATACCATTTCGACGTCTTTGATCGTCGTGTTTACTAGTCAATCAAGTATGGTTATAATCTCATCACATTTTACCTTAATTAAACAAACCGGTTTAAGGTAGTTAGTACATCTGTAGTTATTTATATACAATACTACTATACATTGTCATTTTCCAATTACATTCATATTTGATCTTCTCACATAAACGGTATTGTAAACTATTTTCTGGTAATAATAGTCATTATTGGGAAAAACACTCACTTTTACAAAAGTACAAACATACAGAAGAGTCGGGTCTTGGTAGAAGACTACTTTAGTAGAAAATATAGGATTTTCTAGGAAGTATACAAACACTTACATCAAACATTTACAAACACTTACATCAAACATTTACAAACACTTTCATCAAACTTATACAAACAATGACACTAAAATACTTATGAACTCACCAGCTTTAATGCTGATCTACACTTTCAAAATAACTTGTATTCTCAGGTCACCAGTAGACAGGTACCGATGACCGAGTTTTGAGAAGACGGAGCATGTTCAAGACTCGTCTTTTATTTTTTATTCATATTTTGGTGTCTTTCAAACTATACAGAACACACTTGTATTAAATTATACTATTAATGTAATGGATGATGTTGTTGCTTGTTTTACTATTATGCATTGTTATGATATTGTACGTGACGTCCTCCACCCCCGAACGTTTCCGTCGTTCTGGTTTGGGGGTGTGACAGATAGTATGAGGAATGTGGTAAGGTTGCGGGGTGACCCGTAGCATTAGTTAGCAGGTAGTATAGAAGTGTTGTAAGACTATGGGGTGGCCCGTAGCGTTCACTAGTTGGCAGATAGAGTAGGAACGCTGTAAGACTGCGGTGTGGCCCGTGGCATTGGTATATTAGTATATTAAGGCTACGGGGTGGCCCGTAGCATGCATTAGTGGTCAGATGGTATGGGAACATCAGACTGCGGGGTGGCCCGTAGCATTCGCCAACCTTTAGTTGGCAGTGAGAATGTATCAGATGCGTGACTCGCTTGTGGATTTCTTCAGATAGTTTAGACCAGGGCAGGACAACCTGCACAGTATGATTGGATTCGGGAAGCGGAATGTCGTTGGAGACCAAGAGTGATGTAAGTCTACAGCAGTTCTGGTAGCATTCATCTTTTGTATTAGGTTTGGTGGAAACGGGTAGTTGGACGGTGTGATCGGGAGGATCAACAGGAATTGTGGAGCCATGAGTGGCAATATGGATAGAGTAGTTTTCGATAGCCGAAGTTTCTTCAGAAGTCGTTGGGAGCGACTAAGAGATCGGGCTTGGGTTCAGTAACCGGTGGGAGTCCGGTAACCCAGATGATGGCAGAGCAGTTGGGGCCAGGGTGGTCTCGGTTCATCCGGTAAGCGGATCGGAGGCAGCAGGTTCTACAGACATTTAATGATGAGAGAATTTTAGCATGGAGCAGCTAGTTGACCGAGAGGTACTACGCCACTCACAGCGGGGTTAAATAATCAGAGAGTGAAGGACTTGACTCTGTTGCGCAGCTCTCGTCTGAGTGTAACCGTTGCAGGGATGAATCTTTTACTCGAAGGATTATCTGATCCATTCACTGGGGTTGGGTGTTTAGCACAGAAACATAGAAAGAGGAAACATTCAGTAGGTAGCGGTGAAGCGACCGGCACTAGGAGTGGCTGGAGATTACTTACAGCGAAGGATCTATCCTTCGCAGAGACATGAAAGGTTGTCGCTTAGGTACAGTTGCCTTGGGAAGGCCATCGATTACGCAGGGTAATGGTTTGATCCTCAGGATGTCAAGTATAGCGGTCCTTTCGAGGATCGGACTGAGCAGACAAGGTTAAGCGTTGTATAGGAATGGTTATGAGCATTCAGGCTAGTTTGGAGAGACTACTTGTCCCATGAGAAGTATCCGAGATAAGTATCCGCAGAACACTTCGAGGACGAAGTATAGTTTAAGTGGGGGAGAGTTGTAATACCCAGTCTTGAAAGTACTCGGTTGTGGTCTCGGAGGCCAAAGGGTAGAGGCGATTCAGTCTTTTATGGGTCTCGAGTTTATTCAGAAGGTGTTAGGCTTGGGGTGTGACTAAGAGCGTAGGGTTTTCCGCCACCTTTTCGTGGATATAAAGTTCGTCGGAAACGGACTTAAAACGAAGAAGTTATAGCACTTTGAAGTTATTGGCATAAATGGTCCCTAATGGAAATGTTTGGCAAGTAAGTCCCATGCATGCAAGGATGCATGAACGTGACCGGCTGGGTACGCCCAGCGTAAGCTGGGTTACGCCCAACGTATAAGTGAGAATGGTCGCGGGTGCGGAGAGGAGTACGCCCAGCGTACGCTCAGAGTCACTAAACCCTAATTTTAGGGCTATGTCACTATAAAAGGAATAATGTGCTTCAGGGGTCAACCTCCCTCTCATCTTTAGACAGCCTCCACGAAACCCTAAACCACCTTTGAGTGTCCTTGGAGCTTTGGAGGCCATTAGAGAGCATTTTGGAGTAGTAAAGCCATTTTTCCAAGCAAGTGAAGAGCATAGCAAGGTGGGGGATCAAAGGAGAAGATATAGATCCGGGGTTATTGCTTCATTTCAGACTTTCTTGAGGTATAAAGGCTTGAACTTGCCTCTTAGAAGCTTAGATCTAGGGTTTTGAAGCTTTTGACCTTTTTAGGTCCAAATAATGGATCTTGTTCATGCAACTTTGTTTTTAAGCTTAGGGTTGCCACCCTTGAAGCTCAAAGTGTTCCTTTAGCAGTAAAGTTGCAAGCTTTGAGGTCTTTATGTATCCATGCATGAGATCTAGCCATTTCCATGGAAGTTTATTGCTATTTTTAGAGTTGGGTTCATTTGGTGGGTTGCAAGCCACCAAGTGATCGACTTTATAGGTTAGGACGAAGTATTGGACTCAGAACTGTAGTTTGGACGTAGTGTCTTAAGGGACTAAGCAGTATTGGAGAAAATGCCTTAACAGGAGAGTACGCTAGGCGTACACTCAGACAGTGGGCTTTATGTTATTGGGCCTCAGTTTGGGCCAAGCTTTGGACATAGCAGTAGTTGGGCCATGATGGGCCTTCAGAAGTCAGTCAATGGCCCAAGGACTAGTTGGGCTTGAGAGGAAAGCCCATTTGAGGAGTTGGGCCTAATTTAGAAAATTGGGCCATTTGGAGACTTTAATGAGCTTTAATGAGTTTAGAAGGACTAGAAAGGATTGGGCCTAGGTCATGGCCCAAATTAGATCATAAAGGGGTAAAACAGTCATTTTACCCTTAGAAGGATTCTCAGTTTTTGACTAAGTGTTTATTTGGTCATAATAACCGGAGAGTAGTTGGAGCAGCGGACAGAGTTACCTTGCATGAGTTTTCAGCAGCCAGATTGAGAGGTGAGTTTTCCTCCAGTAGGAACGGGTCTAAGGCACCAATGCCGGCCCGTTTATGTAGATACAGTATGTCGGACTCCGGTCCGATGCCGGGGTTAGTCCAATGCAGATTACATGTTTCCGGACTTCGGTCTGATGTCGGGGCGGTCCTGAGAAGTAGTTATGTATGCTTGATGTCGTTGTGATTCATGCATGATATATGTTATGTGTTGGGGCAAGCCCGATATATGCTAGTTTATATGTTATATGTTATATCTTTCGGGCTTCGGTCCGATGTCGGGGTAAGCCCGATGCAGGCTATGTGATTATGTTATGTGTTATGATATATGTTATGTTGTGTATATGTCGGGGTAAGCCCGATGTCGGGGTGAGCCTGATGCCAGACGTAGTCTGATGCCGGGGTGAGCCCGATGCCGGGCAGGAGTCCGATGTCGGGTAAGTCGATGTCGGGTTCGTTCTGATGCAGTTGGGAGTAGTCCCAGAGTTATTCTATTTGTTATATGTTATGTGTATGGTATGTGGTAGTTTGGGGGAGCTCACTAAGCTTCGTGCTTACGGTTTACAGTTTTGGTTTCAGGTACCTTCAGTTTTCAGAAAAGGAGCTCGGGACGATCGCATCGCATTCACCCATATTATTCCGCATTATGTGATCTTTGGAATTGGACTCTAATATTTATTTTAAATGAAACATTTTCAATGTACGGAACAAAGTTGTTAAGTGTTTCTATAATATAAAAATGAAATTTTTAGTCTTGAATTTTGGGATGTTACAATCACTTCATCTTTCTAAGATAAACATCACCAAACCATTCTTTCACCTGACTTTAAACATATCTTCATCTTTGCTTCTTCCTTCATCAGATAACATCCACAATTTACGCCGTCCTTACCACCGGCGACTTTGCTCCGGCGACTTACCACTGTCGTCTCCTGTGTCGACAGCACCACCGCCACCACCATCTCCTCTTTTAACTTCTGCTACCACCATAAATCACCCACCTCCTTATCCGATCCTCGGTGAATATCCATATCTACATCAGATCTTACTAGATCCACATCAGAAATCACCAGATCTACATCAGATTTGACTAGATCTACATCAGATCTGACTAGATCTACATCAGATCTCCGGTGAAACATCCATCGCTGACTATATGGCCTTCTATTCGAGATTCCGACATCACCGCCAAACCGACATCTACCACCTCCAGATGCGTCATCACCATCGTATCTTCACTACCCCTCCAAATCTGCTTCGCCTCCATAATTTTGAGTCGTTTCGTTGTTCATGCTCGTAAATCCATATCTGATTTCCATCAGATCTAGTTTAAAACCTTCAGATCTAATTTCCTTCATGTTCTGTAGGTTTAAAACTTCTGAAGCTTTTTTTATTTATTTGGATTTTGTTCTCCGTTTTGAAGCATGTTCGCAACTGAAACTCTAGCTACCACAAGATCTGAAGAAATCTAATAGAGCTCCGGCAAGATTGAGACCAGATCTAAGACTGTCGTCAACTGCCACCACTTTTATTGCTTCGCCGCTCTATTAAACACCGTCAGATATCCTCCGTCTATTTATCTCGAATCTCTAATGAAACACATCAGATATGTTGATATTTGTTTACTTTATTTTTCTTTCTGTTAAGTTGTGAATTTAATGCTCTAATCTCTCATTTTGTTGCTTACTTTTGTTAAACATAGTTTTTTTCTACTATTAAGTTGTTAATCCATGTTTATTATGTTATTTTTTATGATGTTTGCATCAAGTTTTTATTCACACTTTATGTTTTATTGTTGTTAAGGTGCGAACTGAATTTAAAATGTGTGTTATTATGTTAGTGTTTTCTCAAATAATATGAATTTTGATTTTTTTAAGCTTTGAACTGTAATGTTTTAATGTTTCTACTATTGTTTAGTTTTATTTAAGTTAGTTACTATGAATGCGTGAATTAATATGTTTTTATGTTATGAATACTATGAATAAGAGTCATAAACTGATTATTAAACTGTGAATGAGAGTTCTGAAAATGCTCTATTAAACCGTGAATTTGTGTGGTGCACACAATGTATCTGATGAAATGTTTCAACACAATTAATTATGTGTTGATGTAAATATTATGAACGAGAGACCTAAATTTGTTTTATTAAACTGTGAATTAAAGTTTTGAAATATAACTTTTAAGTTTAGAATATGGTCGTGAATGTATAATTTTTTGTATAAAACTTTGAATTTATCATATTAAGCTATGAATTTTGTGTATTAAACTGTGATTTGACTATATTAAGCTGTGAATTGACTGTAGTAAACTGTGAATTGATTGTAGTAAACTGTGAATTGATTTTAATAAGCTGTGAATTAACTGTATTAAGTTGTAAATTTTTTATTAATTTTTTGTTTGCTTCTGAAATACGAGATGAAAGAAACATTATACACATATATGATTTAATCTAATTTTAGATAAAGCATTAAAATTTAAGTTGTGATTATTTGTGTAAATAAATTTTGAAAGAAAGAATAACATATAGATCTGAAGGTATACATGTAAGTTTCAAGTTGAGATAACTTTTGTGCATTAAACTATGAATTTATTATATTAAGTCGTGAACTAAACTGTAAATTGAATGTGTTTAGTTGTTAATTTTTAATGAACTTTGTGTATGTAAGAATGTATTAGTGTTTATAATTATTTTGCATTAAACTCTGAATAAATGAATTAACTAGTTTATTAAATTGTGAAAATAGTATTTAAGCTGTCAACCAATGATTTTATATATATTATATATATATCTATATATTATATTATATATATATATCTATATATATATATATATATATATATATATATATATATATCTGATTTGGAAGAAATGATGATTACGACGTTGGCACGAGTGATTGGTGGTGAAGTGTGGTAGTTGGTCGTAGTGGTGGTGGGGGAGTTTGAGTTTGACTTTGTTAAATATGTAAATTAGTGTATAATGAATTGTATTATGTTATGTTGTAAATTTAATGTATTAAACTAAAAATGGACTGCATTAAGTTGTATATTTTATATAAATTTTATGTTAAAATATGAATAAATGTATGCATGAAACTATTAAACTGTGTATTAGTAATTATTATGTTTATTAAACTATAAATAGTGTATTTTAAACTGTGAATATTTCTTATACATTATATATCTTGTAAAGAAATCTACAATTTAGAAAAAGGAAATTGATTTTTTCAAGACATAATTCACTTTTTTTTTATAAAAATTTTGTATATTTTGACTGGAAAATAAAAAATATTACCAAAAAATTAGAGCTATAATGTTTGTTCTATTAAGCTTTGAATACAACCAAAATATGCTATTGAATTTACTGTTAGTCCGGCGCGGTCCAACGGTGGTCCGACGACGGTCAGATGGTGGTCCGACAACAAGTGGCAGGTAGTTTGTAAACTAAAGAGTGGAAAATTTTGCTTAATACAATATAAATGTTGAATTTGTTTAAAATACTCTTAATGAAAACATTTAAAAAAAAATAATTTTTAGGGTTCTTGATATTTTTGGGTTTTTATTTGAACCATATTACAATGAGAGCTCTCAATGAATTGTGGGGTTCACCAATAACCACATGCTCTCTCTCTTTATTTATTATATATTATATATATCTATATATATATATATATATATATATATATATATATATATATATATATATATATATATATAAAAAGAGAGAGAGAGAGAGCACGTGGTTATTGGTGAACCCCACAATTCATTGAGAGCTCTCATTGTATTGTAATGTGGGCATCATATGCCCCTAAATAATAGTGTGCTTTAGGTTCTTTTGCCATTGTTTGGGGAATTGTCCTTAATTACTAGGGTCACTCTCACAAACCCATCACTACCACAATACCACCTGGCTAAGTAATAGACAATGACATATCTTGCACATGTGTCCCTTTTGTCTTATTCCATATTCATTAAATTGTCATTGAACCTATCATATAAATAAAAGATAAATCAAAACGAAATATAAATATGTATATCAAAATGTTATTAAATAAAAGCAAACACTACTAACGTTGAAGAGAGGTGGTTCTCCGCGCACAGACACACCAGGCGTTTATGTTGTTAAATATAGCAATTGTATTTAGTATTGTTTTGGAGTTGGGTTTAAATTCGTTTTTTTTCTTGAATAACAATTTTATGTTAATATAAATAATGCTTGAATCATAGAAATGTACTAAGTTTAAAAGACTAAAATTAATTTTTATAGAATTTTCAACACAAATTTGAAGAAATAACTTTACAATCAAACAAAAACCTTAATCAAACAATTAGAGACCACAATTTTTTTATAATACAAAATCATGAAAGATAAATGAATAATTATGTTTTTTTATCTATATAAAATCACAATCTCATTTCACATATAAGGGGAATTCGTAAAGGTTTATAGATTGTTTTTATTTTTATTTTTTATTTTTTTATGAGACAGAGAGAGAACATGCCCTCCTTTATATATATATATATATATATATATAATATATATATATATATATATATATTAAAAAGTAAATATAATCTATTTTCAGTATGACAATAATGTTTTTAAAGTTTATAATATATTTTTTATATAGACCATTCACTCCTATAAAAAAAATTATAGGATGCCTACAGACTCAAATATTCATAAGGTTATGGGTACAATATAATGGTGAACAAAAACCGAACCGATAATAGAAAAACCGCTCCGCAACAAACTGCAACCGTGAAACTGAAACCGAGTTTGCGAATATGGGTTACAAATGAAGTAATCAAGTAAACAATGTAAAAAACTCAAAATTGTGGCTTCTAAATGTTAGGATACAAAACAACACCATGTCATATAATCATAAATCTTCATATGAAGATCACAGTTAAAAAAAACCATACTGATGAACATAAAAAACAGCACCATATATTTGGCTCGGTTTAAAACCCACTGAGCCAATACAATCCGAAACCGCAATCGAAAACCACGAAACCGAACCACTGAAAAACCGCACCCAACGGTTTCTAGAATGCAAAAACAGTACATTGTGGTTTGCGGGTTCAAAACATAAACCCATATATGTAGGGCCGGTCTTGAGGATTCAAATGCCCAGGACGAGCCGGGAAAAAATGTCTTATGCCCTAACATGTAATTAATTAATTATATAAACTATATTTTTTTTTTAAAACGACGATAAACTTTATAGGAATAAACAGAGAAAAATCATAGTATTTTGACGAGTAATAACATATCGTAACATCTAACCGACAACCAAATATGAAAATGGGCCCTAAATTTCTTTTATATATATATATATATATATATATATAAGAAATTTAAACTAAAGGCTGAATTGTCATAAAGAAAACTAAAAAATTAAATTAAATTAATAAACAAAATGACAAGTATAAATTTATAAAAGTTGAGGGGCTAAATATAAAATTTTTGGAAATTGATTTAGTAAAGAGAATTGATATGTAGGATAAATTGTTAAATATGGATCATAAATTAAGGTAGAAATTGTAATTTATAATATTTAACATATAAACATCCTTATATGGAGCCAAATAAGCCAAAACGTTTAAAAAAGTAAACTTGAATTTAGAAAGAATCGAACTCGCATGCTTGTTGTATTTAAAAACACGCCGCTTTAAAGGCTGATCCAAAGCATATTCGTTCTAAAAAACTGAAAACATAATATATATTAATATCTTAATTATATAATTTTGCAAAACTCGGCCCCAATATTTTTCGGGCACCTGTGCAGCTGCACACCTTGCCCCCCTTCAGGGTCGGGCCTACATATATGAGCCGCCAACCCACTTATTTATACGAGTTCACAGGTTCGCGGGTTTGTGAGTTCGTGGGTCAGATTTGGGTTCACGTGTTCGTGGTTCACATTCCATAAATAAAATTGATAATTAAACATGAAAAAATTCTTCATGCAAACATATCCAAATTTTAGAAACTTAAGTCTTAAACATCCAAATGAAAAATAAAAACATTCATGGAAACATGTTCAAACTAAAAATGTATAATTGTCATTAAAAATAACTCATCAAACA